ATGCATACATACACAGATAGATAGATGGATAGATAGATAGACAGACAGACAGACAGACAGACGAACAGATTGATATATATATATATATGTATATATATATATATGTATATATATATATATATATTTGTTATTATTATTATTATGATTATTATAATTATGATAGTATCTTATAGTACTAGTACATCGTCGTAGATGTATACACACGTACATATATAGATATATATATATAGAGAGAGAGAGAGAGAGAGAGAGAGAGCCGAGGGCTTCGAGTTTAGGGTTCAGGGCTTACAGCCTTAAGATGGCTTGATGCTTCTAAGAAGGCACTGTTGCGGTTAGGGGATCGACCTTTACGGGTCTTTACCCTCTTTTTCCTTTAAAACTGGAGTTTGGGCTGGCTTCGGTTTTAGCTGGCGATCCCTGGCCGACATCCTCGGGGGTTGCTTGGCCGGGGGTCCTTGCGGCGAACTTGTCGTTGGACTTCAGGCCATTCCAAGCTGCACCACTGCCACCGTAGTTGAGCCTCAAGCCGTGAGGATTACGACCACCACTGCTACGACTCCGACGACTACGAGGACTACAACGACTACGACTACTACGACGGCAACAGCGACTACTACGACTCCACGGCTACTTCTACTACCAGTACGACTGTGAGTTCTGACCCCACTACATTCTGACATATGCTGGCCCCCGCACGGAGCAAGAACCGGTCAGTCCGAGATTCTGCGAGATGATGACCATCTGCACAGCCGGGGGGGTGGCTTCCGAGTTCAGGGTTTTGCGAATCTACCATGTGGTCGTGAATATTGAGCTTCTTGCAGTTCTAATAATGCCCAGAGGTGTCACATTAGCAATGCCTGTACTCATTGTGTTAGTGACAGAACAATAATAACCGCACACGCAGCCACTGCAAGGATGGAACGAGCTTCATGCTCGCGCTCTGGGCTTCCTACCATGTCAATAAGAACCTTCCTCAGAGTCTAGGCTTGAGGGTCAAAGCTGAGATTCTCCCAAGTCCTGATGCTGCGGAAGGTCTGATCAAAGCCAAGGCCTGCAAAGCCTCGAGCCCTAAATCTGCTTAAGCTTGAGGCCCGAAGGACAGGGGTTTGATTCTTATAGCGCTAACATAATAGACTCTGTATAAAATATATCGCAATATATCCCATACTATACCCCAAAGCCTGCTTCTTATGAGGCCACGCCATAAGAACCCATAGAATCCTGGAAACCTCGGATTGATAAGGCACACCAGCCTTGTCAGGCATGCGGAAGAGGATGTTCGGAATCTCGCAGCTCGAGCCCTTCCCCGCGGGTCAAGGTTGGTTTTTGGGGGCTTCCTTGAAGTTGTATCGGGCCTTTATTCGGGGCCTTTCTCGTAGATCCCAAAAAACCTTAGTCTGATCCTTCAGACCCCTGAATTGAACTCTTACATGGCTCTGGGGCTGAACTGCCAACCCTGCTTCCTGCTTTGCGGGCCCCTGCAGAAACTCGAATTTCCACGGGCTTTCAACGGTTAACTGACACCAGTAGGAACGTCCCCTTGCACTTCGCACATGCACATGACTATAGATGAAATGCTTTACCGCAAAACCCTGTTCTGGCCCCTCTCCTTGCTGATCGAGTCCAAGGACCGTGGGCAAATTTCAGACACCCTCCGCTATGGGGTAATGACGAGGGTTAGCAACACAAAAATCAAACATGCCATCATGGGCGTACACATACATAGGCGGAAACCTAACGAGTATACATCGATAACACACGCATACATGCAAACATAGACATATGTATGTATGTTTATGTATGTACGTATGTCTGTATGTATGTATGTATGTAATGTATGTATGTATGTATGTATGTATGTATGTATGTATGTATGTATGTATGTATGTTTATGTATGTATGTATGTCGTATGTATGTATGTATGTATGTATGTATGTATGTATGTATGGATGTATGCATGTATGTACGTACGTACGTATGTATGTATGTATGTATGTAGCATGTATGTATGTATGTATGTATGTATGTATGTATGCGCCCTGACGAAGGACATGATCGTGGCATGGAACGGACCCTAATCCCTTTTCATATACATATCCAGCTAACATAAGCTAACTACTTGTGTTTATGTGCATGTACATGCAAACATACCCACACACGTTCAAACGTACGTCAAGCATACGCAGATAACGCAGCAGAGATACGGTTAATAGTTTGTGCCTGGTGTCTTCAAAAGGCTTATGCTGCCAAGGACCGTATAAAAAAGGCCCTAGACCCCCAAGGAGCCAATAATAAGGTGCCTGGAAGCTTACGGAAGCAAAGACGACTTCCTAGCTCTCGCTTTCCCCAAAGCGCCTGGTCGATGTAGTGATACTCCGCCTGTCATGTGCGCAAAAGGTGGTGACGAAAGGAAAGTTTAGGGATTTAGCGTGTGATATACCGGTCTGAACAACTTCGCATTACGTATAGCATTCCCGTGTGGCCCCATACGAGTCAAGGTATTTTAACTACCTCAGACCCTATTCGAATCCTGAATGGAGGCCCCTACATTTACGCCCCCCCTTCCCAGTATGCCTTCAGCCCCGGTCGAAGCACGTTGTCTTGCAGCCAGCTGTTGCGATGCAGCATTGTGAACATGTATCCTCGGTTACAGCATTTGCGACCGAGTGCGTGACTGCTGATGGCAGACGAGACAATTTCTGTCGAACCTTGCTTGGGAAGAATGCCTTAAAACATTGCAACAAAACAATGCTACAAGTACAAACAATACTATCCTTGGCAGTTCGAACCTCAAGCAACAGCTCGTTCGTGGAAAAAGCTAGATTGCAGGACACCCTCAAATCAGATCACCCATGCACAGGTGGGTGCCGTGCTGTGGTAGTGGTTGTGGCGGTAAACATATGCAGCGCATGAGCACGCGCGGTTCATGCGATTGACAGTCAAGTCAACATCAGCACCACAACAACAGCAAGGACAATACCGGCAACACCGACAACCACCACGACCACGACCACGACCACGACCACAGCCACCACTACCACCACCACCACCGCCACCAGCACCAGCACCAGCACAAGCACCAGCACCAGCACCAGCGCCAGCACCAGCGCCAGCCCCAGCGCCAGCACCAGCACCAGCACCACCATCGACAGCAACAACAAAAACAACGGCAACAAAAACAACGGCAACAACAACACAGCAACAACAACACCAACACCAACCAACACCAGCACCAGCACCAGCACCAGCACCAGCACCAGCGCCAGCGCCAGCGCCAGCGCCAGCACCAGCACCAGCACCAGCACCAGCACCAGCAACTGCAACTGCAACTGCAACTGCAACTGCAACT